CTATCCCTAGTGTGGCACATGGATCTGCTCTTGACTAGCTAGCAGCTAACTGGGGAACATACTTAATTCAGGTCCATCTGGAAACTCATCAGACACTAGCCAGGCAAGACACGTACTAGGGAAAATGCCCGTGAAGGATCAAGGGAAAGGAAGCAGAGGAAAGTGAGGAAAGCCTCCAAACCATGCTGCAACTCTGACATCTGTGGAAGTAGAGAGGGAAAAAGAGATGATCAGGATAGAGAGTCAAAGACTGTAGCACAGTTCAAAAAAAGCCCTGGTTAGGCCAATCAGAGTCCTTGAGCCAAAGTGGCCACTTCTCACAGGAATTAGCATATTTTTCCCCTTTTTTAATTTTGTGAGACGGAGTTTTGCCCTTGTTGCCCAGGCTGGAGTGCAATGGCGCGATCTCAGCCCACTGCAACCTCTGCATCCCAGGTTCAAGCAATTCTCCTGCCTTAGCCTCCAAAGTAGCTGGGATTACAGGCATGCGCCACCATGCCCAGCTAATTTTGTATTGCTTTTTTTTTTCTTTTAGAATCAGGGGTTTCACTATATTGCCCAGGCTGGAATGCAGTGGCTATTCACAGGAGTGATTGTAGTACACTGCAGCTTTGAACTCCTGGCCTTAGCCTCTTCCTGACTTAGCCTCCTGTTTAGCTAGGACTATAGGCATGCACCGCTGTACCCCAAAAGAACTGACCAGGTTTTATATACCTACCATGCTCAGTCATCGGTATGGAAAGTCCAGCTCCCTGCAAACATGGTGGCGTATGCCTGCAGAAACGGCTGGGGCTGTCAGTCAGTCATGTTCCCACAGCAGGAGATCTGAGCAGTGTACTTTCAAGTGGCCAAATTTCATGCACTGGACTGTACAGATCCACCTCTGCACGCATGCTCAGGGAGCAGCCTCTTCACAAGTCCAAGGACTGCTCTTTCTGAAGGGAAACTTAGAAGTGATATGTTAATAGGACAAACTATGACCAGGTCTCAGGCCAACCTGGTTCTCATCCTGTCCCTTTAGCACCATCCATTTCCCTCACCTTTAGCTATCACTTTGGCAAGTCCTGATGTCTTATTGAGAGACGTTACGCGATGACATGACCTAAATCTTCATTCCTCTTAGATCTGAGCCCTTTGCAGTCATACCCTTCTCAGGCCAGGAGCACCATACACACTAATCCTAATTCCAATGAGTCAACAGAGTACCAGGAAAGGCCCAAGGAGATATCCTGGGTTCCACAAATCTTCCTCCCTAACTCCATCCAGTTCCTTGGGCTGATGAGGATGGATTCTCCCTATCATCGTGGTAGCTGTTTTCTCCTGCTGGTCCCTGGAGACAAGGAATTCAGAGTGCCCTGGTGGCAGCCCTAATTTGTAATTCAATGGGACTCTTTGTCTCCTGGCACGAGTAGACTGAGTTTGGGGAACAGGATCTTTAACCCTTGATGAACACAGAGTTTTGGGGACTGGAAGGACAGTTCCCAGTGGGTCACTGGGAGTGATGGCAAGTGGGACCACTCCTATTTTGACCTCTTTTTTCTGGATTCATTTATTCTTTTTATTGTGGACACAGTGCCATATAGAGGTCTCTGATTCAATGCATCATCCCATTCTTTTAGAAGGTTGCCTCCTATCGCTGCAGGTATGCTTTTGAAAGGCCATTTCCGCATTCTGTGAGGTCAGCTGCTCTGAGTGGTGTTATATATGACCCGTGGACCCCCACGGTCATGGACCCACACATTTTGAGATTTTATGTAGCATCTTTTTTGGCTACATATTTGCCTCTCAAGGACACTATGCTCTATTAACCATCTCTGCAATTCCTGCAGATCAAGCCACCTTGGCTGCTCCTCTGACCTTGTTGGTTATTATGGTAATTGTGACCTCATGGCTTCTGGGAGTCACATACTTCCAGTTGGTCTCTACTCCTTGACCAGAGCTCCCGCCATCCCCATGGCTGTAAAGGAGCTCAGCTGTGGGATCACTCTCCTACTTTGAGCAGTGGCCTGCAGAGGAGGCTGCCATTGTGCTTACTAGCGATGCCAATGTCTTTCTCAACAGCGTATTCTTAATGGTCTTGGTGAATGGTGTGTTCTTTGGGCCTCACATGGAACGTAATCCTCAGTGGATCTTCTGGTCTTACATGGTATTTCCATCCTAACATGCCCCTTCCCTCAACCTTTTAATCCTTCCTGTACCTTCTGCCAGGGCAACTCGGGTTTCTCCGCTTTACCCGGGTTTAGCCACCACGTTTTCCAGGCTTCTAAAAGCCTTCCCACAATAAGTTTGCCTCATCCTCTAGGGTCTTTGTTAGGGTATTAGATCCTGTGTCTTGAAAGAGTGTCCTTAAGTCTGAGCTCCAGAAATAGCTATACTTCTCTTGGGCAATGTTCCTTATAACTTACATAGCTGATTGTATTTCTCCTTTTGATCTGATTGTTAAGAACGTCAGAAACCTCGAGGTGTGGTGGCTCACACCTGTAATCCTAGCACTTTCAGAGGCAGAGGCGGGTGGATTGCCTGAGCTCAGGCGTTTGAGACCAGTCTGGGCAACACAGTGAAACCCTGTCTCTATGAAAATACAAACGATTAGCCAGGTATGGTAGCGTGTGCCTGTAATCCCAGCTACTTGGGAGGTTGAGGCAGGAGAATTGTTTGAACCTGGGAGGCAGAAGTTGCACTGAGCTGAGATCATGCCACTGCACTCCAGCCTGGGTGACAGAGTGAGACTCCATCTCCAAAAAAAAAGAAAAGAAGTTCAGCATCAAATTTTAATCATACATCTATTACATATACAGGATACAGATACATAGGAACTTATGATATGTGCTTTATATGCTGTACTTCACAACGGCTTCATCTTTTTTCTGTTTTTGAGAAAGGATCTTCCTCTATCACCCAATTTGGGGTGCAGTGGTACAACCACAGCTCTCTTCAGACTTGACTTCCTGGCTCAAGCAATCCTCCCACCTCAGCCTCCCACATAGCTATGACCACAAGTGCTTGCCACCATGCCCAGCTAAATTTTGTTTTATTTTTTGCAGAGATGAGGTCTTGCTATGTTGCCCAGCCTAGTCTCGAACCCCTGGGCTCAAACAATCTTATCTCAGCATACCAAAGTACTGGGATTACAGGCATGAGCCACTGCACCCAGATATCTTTTTTTTTTTTAACTTATTTTCACTTCATACTGAATCTCCTACTTGCATTTATTGAACATACTATCTTCCCAGCATTGTGCTAAGTACATATGTGTTATCTCATTTAACTCTGGCTTTCCTACTGTGTGATCGTGAGGAAGATACTGAATTTCTATAAGCTTTAATTTCACCATTGGTAAGTAAGGATGATCCTAATGTCCACTTTGTAGGGTTATAATGAGGATTAATGATGGTAGTTATTAAAATATACTCAAATCTTTTTGCCTAAAACAACTCAAAAGATCTGATTTAATTGTTTCGTAGGATGTCAATGTAGTAATGTCCAGAAAGATAAACATTAGTTTATTATAAAAACACTCATCATACAGAGCAGAATAAGTGTTACTAATCTTATTTATTATAGCTTTAATGTAATTAAAGGCTTTTGTGGTTCCTGTAATTAAGAGCAACACAACAGAATCAATAAAGCTTAAGACATAATGAACATCCATACAGAACATGTATTTATGTTTTTTTTTTAAAATAGGTAAATGAGATGATGGCCCCCTCTGAGGGCAGTGAGCCCGAAGATTCTTTACTTCAAAATTCATTCAGTTTTACAGGAATCTCAGATTGCTTCGGGCTGACTTGCTAGCCATAATAATGAGGCTTATTCTACTCCTGGGATTTAGTATACTGTATTAATAATTAAAACATCTTATGAGCGAATGCTATTCTGACAACCAAGCCTGGGGCGCTGGAAAGACTGCTGGTTTAGAAAGCAGGACACTAAATGCTAGATGAGCTCTTCCATAGATTTTTTTAAAAACTTAGAGTAGGCTGGGTTCGGTGGCCCAAGCCTGTAATCCCAGCACTTTGGGAGGCCGAGGCGGGTGGAACATGAGGTCAAGAGATCGAGACCATCCTGGTCAATATGGTGAAACCCCGCCTGTACTAAAAATACCAAAAAAAAAAATTAGCTGGGCATTGTGGCGCGTGCCTGTAATCCCAGCTACACAGAAGGCTGAGGCAGGAGAATTGCCTGAACCCAGGAGGCGGAGGTTGCGGTGAGCTGAGACTGTGCCATTGCACTCCAGCCTGGGTAACAAGAGCAAAACTCTGTCTCAAAAACAAACAAACAAACAAAAAAACAAAACAAAACTTAAAGCTGTCTTTTTAATGTCTCTGAGCTCAGATTTCTCCTTAGTTTGGATCACATTATTTTATGATGCCTATCAGTGTCAAAATTCTATGCATCTTTATTTTTTAACTTTACCATGTCCATCTACAAGTGAATGGCCACAAAATGATGTATGCATTTGAAAAATGGGGTAACTGAAGTGTAAAGTTTAAATTACATTCCAAAAAGCAATAGGAAAATAAATTGTAGCTGAACAAGAACTGGCCAGGCACGGTGGCTCCTGCTGGTAATCCCAGCACTTTGGGAGGCCAAGGCAGGAGGATCACTTGAGGCTAGGAGTTCAAGACAAGCCTGGCAACATAGCGAGACCTCCTCTCTCGTAAAGAAAAAAAAAATTAGCCATACACAGTGGTATGCAGCTGTAGCTCCAACTACTTGGAAGCTGAGGTGGGAGGATTGCTTGAACCCAGGAGTTCAAAGCTGCAGTGAGCTATGATGGTGCCACTGCACCCCAGCATGGGTGACAGAGTGAGACCTCATTTCTAAAAAAATAGAAACAAAATGAAATAAAAGTAGAAAAGAATTACATGTGACTTCTTTCCCAGTTCTCATTTTCTCTTATCCTGCTAGGAGTGCGATACATAGAAATTATATCAGAGGTCTGTGGCATCAAACACTTTAACTCAATTCAGCGAATACTTATTCAGTGCAAGTATGTTCCAAGCACTATGTTAGTTTTTGATAACATGATGCAGGATACACATGATCAGTAGCAATCAACTGAACAGCTACATGTATAGGGGACTATACTAGGCCCTTGCCAGGGGTGGCTACCCTTCCTCTAGTGTGTAGAGGAAAAGGCAAGGCATCCATCTGAAAAACAGATAATCGAGCATCAAATGGCTGATACAGACATAAATGTCATAAGACAAGAAACATCACTGAAAACCCAGAGAGACTTTATGGAGCATGTGAAATGTGAACTGAACTGCAAAGGACACTGAAAAATCAAAGAGGCAGGAAAGTGCTGGGCCTATTTAATTGGCATTTATATCCTTCCCAGAATTGTTAAGATTAGGTTTATTTTTGTGTCTGAAATGCATGTGTGTTGTCTTCCCTCAATTTTAGGTACCATGACAGCAGAAACCATGTATAATACAATACTTATATTTGATTCAGCATGACTGATATTTATAGAGCACCTACTATACATCAGACATTGTACTAAGTAAGCTTCGGAGAGGAGGGTAAGGTCAAGGAGGAGAGAAAAGAATTGGAGATAAACTCAGAAATCAGATGAGGCCCTTTTGTCGCTGAAAGATCTGGGTAAACTTGGTTTGAACTCTCAACACATTGCCTGGACTGTGGATGTGTAAAGCCCTTTCAAGAGCTAGCTAACTTCTGGAGGGACACTTTCACTTTCTCATTTCTACTCCGTTTTGCACCATGTTGCAATGAAGGCATTCACACAGGGTTCCCTGGGTTTGGCAGCCATCCCTGAAGACGGAGGTAGGTAAGAATCACAGCTCTGCTGCCCCAGTAGCTGCTTTCTCCATTTTCCCTCTCCCCTCCCTCCTTTTGCCCTCATGTTCTACATTATAGATTGCCTCCCAAAATTTTCAAAACCTCCCTGAAGTATGCGCGGCAAGCTGCCCCTCCTTAACAGCTGGATCCTTGGTCTCAACTTTCCACCTCAAGCATTTTCCAACCTATTTATTCTATTACACCTAATTTTCTTTCAGGAAGAAATCTGGCACCAGCTGTTAAGCAATGGTGATATTTTCTCCACCTTGTTGCAGAGAGATAAGCGCACCGGTAACTCTAAGAGAAAGCCACAGGGCTATGAAGGGACAGAAGGAGAAAGCATAGGAAATGAGTCAGGAAGAGTTCTGGGGGCCTTTCTAAGTGGTCCCTTTCTCTGTCCCGAATTCACACTGTATTTATTGCCTTGGAAATGTGTCCTTTAATGCCTTCTATTGCTGTTTGTCTTTCCATCTGTTTGTGCTTTATCTCCCTGACCAGATTTTTTTCAGTTCCAGTATGGCAGGCTTTTCTGTTCATCCCTGGAATGCTCATGGTGCCTGGCCTAGGGCCTCCTGGGTAATGGACCTCACTGATCGGTCTGTTGAGTCCCAACCTGTGGAAGCTTTATGATTTGCCTAGTTTCATAAGACCTTCCCTCAGTTTTCCTAAAAATGCCACATGGCAGGTGTTTGACTTAATTAAAATAAGTTAAAATGTCTCTAAGAATGCACTGAGTATTTAACCAATTGGCTTGAGAAGGCTGCAGATGCCCACTCAAGTTCCAGCAATGAGGCGCTGGAAAGGACTAATGTGTATTTAAGTACCCCTACCTCCCAGCCATCTGCTTTTATTCCCACAATCACCTTTTGCGGTGAGATTAGGTGATTTGCCAGTGTTCACACTATTACAGGGCAGGAACTGAAGTTTTTAACAGGGCACACCCAGCTTCAAAGCTCCTGTTCTTTTCAATGTCTCACACGTCCAGAATAATAATGCCCCCTTAGAGATATTCAAATTCTCATCATCACTAAGAAGGGCAGTTATCCACTAGGATGCAAACTAAACAAACCACCCCAATAATTATTGTCCTGGAGTTGTAAAAAGAAAATTGACTCCATGAACTTGAACAAGTGGCTTCAACTTTCTGAGCTTCCAGCTACTTATCTGCATGTATACAATTCTACAGAGTTGATATCAACATTAAGTTAAATAACACCGTCTCAGACACACATACACACACACACACACACACACACACAAATATCAGGGAAACAGTCTTTCTGTTAGCTGAAAACAAAGATCAATTGCATTATTTGAAGATTTCAAGTGGTAAGTGAAAATTCTTCTTCCTTTATAGCGTATAAAATAGGAGCTGACACTCAGTTCTGACATTCAGATTAGTCGGGCAGATGTCTTTTAATTGGGTTAACTCATTACATGACTTGGGAGGGGCATTAGCTGACTCACACAAGAACAGATTAACCATTAACCCAACATCATGCAGCTGCAGCCACAGTCCAGAAGGTAAATTGGCACCACCATCAACATCCTTTGAAGCCCTTCTCCACAGTAACTACCATTGCCCCTCAAACAGGGCACCTTCAGATTATCGCAATCAGCCCAGGCAGGAGGTAAGAGGGCTTAAGGCAGGCATCCCCAAACTATGGCCCCGCGGGATGCATGCGGCCCCTTGAGGCCATTTATCTGGCCCCCCGCCACACTTCAGGAATGGGCACCTTTTTCACTGGTGGTCAGTGAGAGGAGCACAGTATGTGGCGGCCCTCCAACAGTCTGAGGGACAGTGAACTGGCCCCCTGTGTAAAAAGTTTGGGGACGCCTAGCTTAAGGTATGACCATTATAAAATATCAGAAAGTTCTTTAGGGGAGGGCTTGGGGAATGGAACCACTCTCCACAGTCCCTTGATGACACCAAGTCCTGACATATGTCTCTAAGACCACAGGCTTGGCAGTGAATCAGAGCTGAGTTTTAGCTCTGCCTCGTCCTAGTTGTGTGGCTGTGAGTAGTACATTACTGCTTTAAATTCAGGTTTTTAATCTGTAAAATGGGAGTGATAATACTTTATGTCTTTTCTATTGTGTATATTCAGAATTTTTATTATAAAACAAAGAACCAGAGTAACATTAATAATAGAAAATTCATGTGGAAATATTCACAATCTGGTCAGTGAGAAACGAGAAAACAACTTCCGTGCCTTACTGCCCAACCATTATTTGAGGAGCCAGAAGTAGTGGTGAAGTTGGAAAAAAGTCACCTTTTCCAGCTAAACCCCACTGCATAGCTATATGCATTTTTATTCAAAGGCTCAATGACCAGAAGGAACAGTGAGAACCGAAAACCAAAATACTGTTATTGGCAAGGGTGCAGCTAAAGCGTCTGAGATGTGTAAGCACCAAGAAGGGAAAAGGAGATCAATCAACATATGAAAAAGGGGCTGTAGGAACAAACACAGAGAAAATAAGTCAACAATAACCTACTTCCACCCAGAGCAAAGTGACACTGCACATACATTCATCCTCCCAGTGTTGGCTACACTGCACATTGACTCATACTGTCTCCAACGTGGCCTATTGGAAAGACTCAAGCCCCCTAAGGGCACTCGGCACAGGACCATGGTGGCATGGTAACAGACATAGACAAGCATGCCATGACCCTGAAGCAACAACACGCTTTAGGTAATAATCGTTCAGGAAAAAAATCCTCTCCCAGAGCTGAGGTGTCAAATTCCAAGTAGCTATAAACATTCTTCTTGGAATTCCTTTAAAGGTATGGGTTAAAATAAAATAAACACCTAAAATCTCTTAAAGAGCAAAATGGAGAAATAATGAACCTCTACCAAGAACCAATTATTTTGGATTTCTCATTTGGATGGCTCTCCCACCAGATGGATGGTGGGATTACTTAAAAAGTAATGAGTCTACTACAAGGGGAAGGAGTTTTTTGGTCCAGGAAGAAGGAACAGGCTTTCTAGAAATAACTTTCCCTTCCCTGGACTCCATCCAAAATTAGAACCCATCAACTGTGATTAACTATAAGGCCCATCTTAGTTAACAATTTTAGATTTCAAGTAATACTACGTATAAACTATAATCTTAAATTTAAAAGTTTCAAAAGAAATCAGTAGCTTTATTATATAGGCATATTACTTTTCTGAGAAATTAAACTTAAGAGTTTCCATCTGAAGGACAGAAATTGTTAAGAGGTAGCATGCAGACCTCAGGCTCTGTATCATAAACCCTCCAATAATGAATTACGTTTCTCCCTAAATTCTTCTTATTGCACCTTAACCTTTCAAGCATCAAATCTTCTACTCTATAATGTCTTTTAAACACCTCCCTGTCACCCCAATTTTCTTATGTTTTCATTGCTTGGCAAAAGTACACTTAAAAAATAAATATATGTAATTAAACCAGAAGGCAAAATAAATAAAACTCAAGTTAATTTCCTGTGTACAGCTATATGAAAATGAGGAAGGTGCTCTTACATAAACCCCCTCTGCTTCCCACACTTGTGTATCTGCTTCCTGGGAAGTTTGAGGTTGGAGCAACTGTACCTTACCCTTCCTCCCCATATCCCCTAATCGGGCAATATTAGAATCCAAGAGAGGAAGAGCTGGCAAAGTTGTCCTATGCCAAGTGGCCAATCCCTCCTGAAATGAAGGTAGGTTCACTTGGTCTCTCCTAAGTGAAAGAGAATGTCCAAGAAATGAAATATTTAAAAAGCCATTGAAAATCCAACAAGAAAATCTCCCCAGCCTTGTGGGAGAAAGGAATCCAGTAGCAGCATTCAGAAGCAGTCCTGGGTTCATCCTGATGAGTACCTCCCTCGTTCAGGGAGAGGTGGCTTTCCCATGCTGAGAGGGAGGTAGAAGGAGGCATGACTTAGATATTGGTGGTGGTCTCCTTAGCAGGCTGGTTGCTGTTCGTCTCCACGATGAGGTCCTTCTGGATCTATTTGCATCATGTGCCTGCCCTTCAAAGTCCTGTGTGATATCCTCAAAAGTCCTGTGACAGGTCTCGGAGATTTTGAAGACGATAAAGATCAAGAAGGTAATGAGGAAGCTGGTGAAGATGATAAAAACATAGACTCCTAAATAGTAAGCAGCAGAAGGCTAGGAAGTTGGAGGTCCGATTGGAGCAGCTGGCCACTACCGTCACAGATGGGCCAGGGCCCTGGCTGAAGAGTTCAGCCACAATAAATCAGGGAGTGGGGCCTGGCCCAATTTCAAAGAAGGCCACAAAGACCAAGATAGCCCCAATACAGACAAAGCTTATCCCATTATATTCATCCTTTAATAACTAAGAAACAGTGGTGAGGATGGAACAAAAAGTCATCCCTCCAAAGTCTGTCATATCTAGAGTCCTTCCTGCCCTTCCCACCAGAAATAGGGAAACTGCAGTGAAGACAGTATTAACCACACCTGCACCGACATTGGCATAGATGGGCTCTCGAACACCTGCACCCCTGAAGATTTCTGTTGAGTAATAGAACACAGCATTGATTCCAGAGAGCTGCTGAGAGAGCTGGAGCACAATGGAAATGGTGACAGGCTGTCGGTAGCTGGATACTCTAAAGAGCTCCAGCACAGTGACTCGCTTTTCTTGTGCCATCCTTGCACTCTCATCTTTCATCTCCTGGATGTTGTGGGATGCATCCTGAGGAGGATCGCCTTAGCATTCTCCTCTTCTTTTCTCTGAATGAGCAAGAATGTGGGACTTTCAGGGCAAAATGGAAGGGCTGTACTTTGTAGGAGAGCAGGAAAGATGGTAAAGCCTCATAGCCTGAGCCATAGCTCTTCAGACCCCAGGATGAATTCCAGACCAAAGATCTGGTTCACCAGAATTCCGATAACAATGCCCAGCTGGTTGAGAGTGCCAAAGGCACCCGCAGCACAGTAGGTGAGACACATATGAGCACAAAACCTGTGCAGAGTCCACAGAAGAGGCCAATAACCAAGTGGCCCAGGATCAGCATTTCTACTGACTCAGCTACTTTACACAATCCCATAAGGCAGCCACTAGTGACAACCAACAGGTTGATGATAAGCATTGAATTGTGCCTGCCAAAGCTGTTGACAAAGAATCTAATGGAAAAGGAGCCAATCATACCACCAATAGAGAATATGGCCACAGACAGAGACCAGAGTGACATGCACAAGATCTCAGAGGGAGGAGTATTTGTCTTGTCCTTCAAAGTGTTGATAAATTCCCTTATGATCATCTAAGGGGCACTGATGACCCCAGTGTTGTAGCCAAACTGGAAAGAGCCGACTGTAGCAACTGTAATGGTGAAGATCAGAGATGGAGTGACCTTCTGCGTCCCCATGGCCCTAATCTAATTCTTGCTTGCTTGCTTTTTTTTTTTTTTTTGGTCAAATGACCATAGTTTTTTTTTTTTTTTTTTTTTTTTTTAGACAGAGTTTGGCTCTTGTCTTCCAGGCTGGAGTGCAATGTTCAATTTCCACTCACTGCAACCTCCGCCTCCCAGGTTCAAGCTATTCTCCTGCCTCAGCCTTCTAAGTAGCTAGGATTACAGGCACCTGCCACCACGCCTGGCTAATTTTTATATTTTTAGTAGAGATGGGGTTTCACCATGTTGGTCAGGCTGGTCTCAAACTCCTGACCTCAGGTGACTAATCTGCCTCAGCCTCCGGAAGTGGTGGGATTACAGGTGTGAGCCATCGTGCCTCTCTCTTAATCTAATTATTTTCAAGTCTTTAAGAAAGGTCTAGGAGTGTGATTCCCGAGATACCTTTTTCAACCAATGAAACCTTCAAAATTTCCTTCTCAGCAGCCAGTTTTCTCCAGGTCCTCAGGAATGCTCTAAAACTCTCACCATTACAGCATCTCCTATTTTCTGTCTTCTAAAGTTGTTGTAGAGATTAAATTAAATAATAAGCTAGGTGAAGTGGCTCATGGGTGCATGTCTGTAACGCCAGCACTTTGGGAGGCTGAGGTTAGAAGCTCACTTGAGCCCAGGTGTTCAAGATCAGCATGGGAAACATAAGGAGACCCTGTCTCTACCAAAAAATAATTAGCCAGGCATGGTGTTGCATGCCTGTAGTCCCAGCTAATTGCGAGGCTAAGGTGAGAGGCTTGAGCCCAGGAGGTCAAGGCTGCAGTGAGCCATGACTGTGCTACTGCCCTCCAGCCTGGGTGACAGACCCTGCCCAACCTCCCCCCCAAAAAAGAAGAATATAAAATACTTAGCACAGTATCTGGCACATTGTAGGATTTATAAAGTTGGTTATTATTTTACTATTAGCAGGGACCAAGGCCTTAAAGTTGTAAGATGCAGGGAAATAATAAAAGAAAATAAAGAAAGGCTCCCTGCTGCTGAAGAAGCCAATGCCACAGTCGGGTTCACGAGGTCTATTACAATTTGGCTTGCAGCCAGTCTTACTCCATGATTACCTGTATGCACCCTGTGAAAACTTCCTTCGCTCCTCAAGGTAGGCAGAATTCCTCCTTTAGTTTCCCAAAGTACTTTGGATGTACTATGTTCCCTTATCACTCTGTATTCTATTTTGCTTGCATAGCTATCCAGTCTACCCTACATCATCCCAGGCTGTCAGTTTATAGACAGCAGGAACCAGGCAGTCCTCTTTGTATTAGCAGCCATAGGCATTCTGTAAGTATTAGATGAATGAATGGGAGGATGGATGGATGGATGGATGGATAGATAAATAGATAAGGAACATGGGATAACTAGTGACTTGAAAGGATTAGGTCTCGGTACCCAGGGGACTAATTAAGACAGTCATTGCTTCACAAGCTTGCCTAAGGCTGAATCTGAAAGAAATGCAGAGAACATGACACTTGCAGAATTGTTTGCCTGGTGAGCAATCTACGTGTGCCTCCAAGGGAAAAGCATGGCTAGTTGGTGACTGCTGGCAGAGTTGGTATCAGACAGAATACCTTGGCAACCAGAAACCAAGGCAGGATGATGCCTCTAAGTTTTCCTGCAGCCTGAAAGTTAGATTAGTCAATTAGGAACAAGTCCTTCCAAAGACTCAGTTTCAGGCAGACTTGTGGAAGTGACTATTCTCTTTGTCATTGTGTTCACTGTTAACAATGATGCAAGATTTAAAGACAGAAAGTGGGCATGAATTGCGATTCTCACAGAAGAGGGACTGTCTGGAGATAACATTTCCAAGTACCTAGAGTACAAAGTATTTTAGATCATAAGGCAATATAGAGGGAGACACTGTATCTTGACTTTTCAGAAACCATTCTTATTTTATTAATTTTGTTAAAAGCAATTGAAGATAACATTTATTGACTGATCACTGATTGTATACCTCATACTTTTTAAGAAAGTGATATGATAGAGTTGGCCTTCCCTGGCTCATGAGAGTCAATTACATATGTGTTTTCTCAAGGCTGCATTAGATAATTTTACACTGCCATCTTAAATTCGGCCATGTCAGGAGTATTTGACTTCCCAGACTCTAATGGTGGAAATTGGCAAACACTAAAAATCAGTGTTTTCACTCTCATCCCATCTAAGAGCTGCTTGTCAAACATTTACTGCACACCACTGATTTTATAATAAATGATCCTAATTAGCATTTCCCATATTCCTACTTTACAGATGAGAAATTGAAGTTTAGAGATTAAATAACTAATTCACTTATTACAAACATTTTGGTGGCAAAGACAGGATTGAAATTCAGACCATCTGTCTCCAAAGTTCATGCATTTAACCATTTTTTTTTCCTTTCTTTTTTTTTTTTGAGACAGAGTCTTGCTCTTGTCTCCCAGGCTGGAGTGCAGTGGCATGATCTCAGCTCACTACAACTTCCCCCTCCTGGATTCAAGTGATTCTCCTGCCTCAGCCTCTCCTGCAGCAGCACAGGCATGTAGCAGCTTGCCCGGCTAATTTTTGTATTTTTAGTAGAGACGGCGTTTCACCATGTTGGCCAAGGTGGTCTGGATCTCTTGACCTCATGATCTGCACCCCCTCGGCCTCTCAAAGTGCTGGAATTATAGGCGTGAACCACCGTGCCTGGCCAGTACTTAACCATTATTTGCAACACTTTACTTTTTAAAAATCTGGGGGTGGGAGGATGGGGTGTGAACCTACCTTATATCCTAATTTTAAGATTTCAAACCTTACTCAGGTCAGTAAAATGGCAGCATAGGCAGCTCGAAGCTCCTGTACTACCATAAAAAGTCAGAAAACAAGCAGAAGCTGTCAAAATCAACTTTGTCAGACTCTGGAAAAAAGTCAGAGGCTTACAGCAACCAAGTGGATGCTGAATTAAGAAAAATAAAAAATAGGCCAGGTGTGGTGGCTCACCCCTGTAATATCAGCATTTTGGGAGGTCAAGGCAAAAGGATCTCTTGAGCCCATGAGTTTCAGACTAGCCTGGAAACACAGTGAGACCCTGTCTATACCAAAAATAAAAATTAACCAGGCCTGGTGGTGCATGCCTGTAGTCCCAGCTATTGGGGAGGCCGAAGTGTGGGGATCATTTGAGTCTGGGAAGTCAAGGCTGCAGTGAACTAGATCTAGACACTACCCTGAAGCCTGGGTGACAGAGTGAGTCCCTATCTAAAGAATATATGGATAAGGCTGGACATGGTGGCTCACGCCTGTAATCCCAGCACTTTGGGAGGCTGAGGCGGGTGGATCACGAGGTCAGGAGTTCGAGACCAGCCTGGCCAACATGGTGAAACCCTCATCTCTTCTAAAAATACAAAAAATCAGCTGGGCATTCTGGCAGATGCCTGTGATCCCAGCTACTTGGGAGGCTGAGGCAGGAGAATCATTTGAACCCAGGAGGTGGAGGTTGCAGTGAGCCTAGATCACACCACTGCACTCTAGCCTGGGTGACAGAGCAAGACTCCATCTAAATAAATAAATAAATAAATAAATAAATAAAATGATAGGAAAGTTTTGTGGCATTTTTATTTGCTCTTATCCACACCTTACCTTGCAACAGTCTTGAAGACAGAAGCCCATACCGTCAGCATGGACTGTGGTCTCTGGTTCTGGAGGGAGCAAAGCAGAACTTATTTGCAAATTATTGTGTAGATTGGTTTTAACTTGTCTGAGGGTACATGAAGGACTGGTAAAAAGCGCTTACCTCTGTTTGCCTAACTCTGAACTAACCCAGATTGGAAAAGCATCAGGCATTAGAAGAATAAGGCCTGAAGCAGAAGATCACAATTGAGACACGCAATAAACCACCTCAGGCCTGGGCCAAAAATTTGAGGACAGAGTTTCTTTAGAAAGTTAGGACAATCAAAAGCACCTGTGTATGCAGGAAATTTAGAAAGCCATGTGCCCAGGGCAAGATGCTTGCTCAGAAAATATGTGATAAAAACTTCAGCTTTCATCATAGCTGATTCCTAAGCTCTGTGCAAGCCTGGCTAAGTGTTGAATGAGGGCCCCAGCACAGCCCAGTTGGCAAAGACTGAGAAAAGTATTTTTGTTTGTTTCTTTTGTTTCTTAGCTCCTGACATTCAAGTAAAATTCCCTCAAAACACTCACTGAAAGCCAGGCACAGTGGCTGATGCCTGTAATCCTGGTATTTTGGGAGACTGAGGAAGGCAAATCACTTGAGGACAGGAGTTCGAGGCTAGCCTGGACAACATGGTGAAACCCCATCTCTCCTAAAAATACAAAAATTAGCCAGGCATGGTGGCGTGAGCCTGAAATCTTAGCTACACAGGAGGCTGAGCAAGGAGAATTGCTTGAACTTGGTTGCAGTAAGCAGACATCACACCTGTGCACTCCAGCCAGGATGACAGAGCAAATACTCTGTCTCAAAAAAAAAAAAAAACAAAAACAAACAAACAAAAAAAAACAGCCAAACCAACAAACCAGCAAAAAAACCACTCACTGAATACAAGCTAAGGCATGGATACTTCAGCAACCACACATGACAAAGAAAAGTCTCTGCAAAAATAGGAAAATTTACTAGAACAAGACTACTACAGGCCTCAACAATAAAAACAAAAACAACCACAAAGAAAAGGAAACTTCAAAGAGGAAGAATAATCTTATTTCCTGAGTTGCCACAATATGCTATTCAAAAGTCCAGTTTTCAAAAACAACAAAAGAACACAAGAAGGTACACAAAGAAACAGGTAAGTATACTTCAATAAAACAAAATAAATGGACAAAAACCATGTCCAAGGAAGCCCAGACATTGAAATTATTAGATGAAAACTGTAAAACAATGGTCTTAAATGTGCTCAAAGAGCTAAAGGAAAATGTGTAAACAAAACTAAAGAAAATCAGGAAAATAGTGTATGAATAAAATGAGAATACCAATACAAAGATAGAAATTATAAAAAGGAACCAAACAGAAGTTTTGGAGCTGAAAAGTAGCAGAATAACTGAAATGAGAAAACCACTAGAGGGGTTTGTATTAGTTTGCTACCAAAACAGACTGAGTGGCTTGAAAAACAGAAATGAATTTTCTCACAGTTCTGGAGGATGGAAGTACAAGATCAAGGTGTTGGCAGGACTGGTTTCCTCTGTGGTCTCTTTCCTTGGCTTGTAGATTGCAGCTCTCCTGCTGTCTCTTCACATGGTCGTACCTCTGTGCATGCACATTCTGATATCTCCTCTTCTTACACAGACACCAATCATATTGGATTAAGTCCCTAACCTAGCCATTTAAATCTAATTGTCTCAAACTAAATAATTAAATTTATTTTAATTTAATTAGTTTGATCACCAGGAATGAGGATGCCTGCTTTCAAAACTGCTATTTAACATCTACTGAAAATTCTAGCCAGAGCAAGTTGACAGGAAGCAGAAAGAAAGGGCATCCAAATTGGAAAGAAAGAAGTAAAACTGTATCTCTATGACCAAAGAATCTATAAGAAGGCTACTTGAGCTAATAAATAAATTCAGCAAAGTTGCAGGTTATAAGATCATCACATAAAAATCAGTGGTCTATACATCAGCATTGCATATTTGAAAAGGAAATAAAGAAAGCAATTCTATTTGCATTACAAGAGCATCAAAAAGTATAAGATACTTAGAAATAAATTTATCCAAGGAAGTGAAATATTATATACTGTAAACTATAAAAACATTGCTGAAAGAGATTAATGAAGATATAAATAAATGAAAAGACACCCATATTTATAAATTGCAAGACTTAGTGTGTTAAGATAACAATACCCAAAACAATGTACAGATTCGACACAATCGCTATCAAAATCCCAATAGCTTTTTTGCATAAATAGGAAAAGGTCAGGAGTTCAAGACCAGCCTGGCCAACATGGTGAAACCCCATCTCTACTAAAAATACAAAAATTAGCTGGGCATGGTGCCTCATGCCTGTAGTCCAAGTAATTCAGGAGGCTGTGGTATGAGAATCACTTGAACCTGGGAGGCGGAGGTTGCAGTGAGCCAAGATCATGCCACTGCACTACAGCCGGGGCATCAGAGTGAGACTTGGTCTAAAAAAATTTTTTTAAAATTAATAAGGGATTGCAAGGGACCTGAAATAGCCAAAATAATCTTGAAAAAAAAAATCAAAGGTGGAGTACTCATACTTCCTGATTTCAAAATTGAAGAAACTACAGAAATCAAAACAGTGCGATACGGGAATAAGAATAGACACAGAGACCAATGGATTATAATGAGATGTCCAGAAATAAACCCTCATATTTATGGCCAATTGATTTTTGACAACGGTGTCAAATCCATTCAATGGGGAATGTACAGTTTTTTCAAAAGATGGTGCTAACTCAACTGGATTTCCACGTGGAAAAAAATGAAGTTGGGCCCCTACCTCACACCATATATAAAAATTAACTCCAAATGGATCAATGATCTAAATATAAGAGCAAAACCATAAAACTCTTAGAAGAAAACACAGGGGTGAATCTTTGTGACTTTGGATTTGGCAATGGATTCCTAGATATGATACCAAAAGCATGAGCAACAACAACAAAAATTAAATAAATAAGTAGTAGGACTACATCAAAATTATTTTTAAAACTTTAATATAAACTGAGTACAACAATAATAAAGAACATTGAATAAAAGTTCTTAATAGCACAGGCAGACCATATTTTATCCATCAAAGGCTATTATTAATAAAGTGAGAAAGCAAATTGAAGACAATATTAAATATGAATATGAAGACAATATGAAGACAATATTCACAAATCACACATCTGATAACGAATGACTACCCAAAATATGTAAGAAATTCCTACAACTAAACAATAGAAAGACAAACAACTCAATTTAAAGACAGGCAAAGGACTTGAAAAGACATATCTCAAAAAAAGATATTACAAATGCCAATGAGCACATAAAAAAAATGCTCGACATCATTAGAAAAATGCAACTCAAAACTACAATTAGATAAGTACTTCACACCTACAATGATGGCTTGAAAACAAACACATATACCAAGTGACGGCAAAGATGTGGAGAAACTGGAACCTTAATACACTGCTGGTGAGAATATAAAATGCTGCAGCCCCTACAGAAAACACAGGATTACCATATGACCCAGGAATTTCATTCTTAGACACATACTCAAAAGAATTGAAAAGAGGGATTCAAAATTCTAATGTTCATTACAGCATCATTCAATAGCCAAAGGGTGGAAGCAATCCAAGTCTATCAACAAATGAATGAACAAAATGTGGCATATGGACACTATAAAATATTTCCTAGTCATAAATAGGAATGAAGTTCTGATACATGCTACAATGTGGATGTATCCTGAATATTATGCTAAGTAAAATAAGCCACACATCAAAGAACAAATATTATATAATTCCACTTATATACAATATATATCTAGAACAGGTAAATTCATAGAGACCAAAAGTAGATTGAGTTTACCAGAGACTGAAAGGAGAGGGGAATGAAGAGTTACTGCTTACTGAGTACAGAGTTTTTGTTTGGGGTGATGGTAACATTTAGAAATAGGTAATGTTGGTGGTTGCACATTGTGAATGTAACTAATGCCACTAAATCATACACTTAAAAGTGATTAAACAGGGTTGGGTGCAGTGGCTCATGCCTGTAATCCCAGCACTTTGGGAGGCCGTGGGGGCAGATCACTTGAGGTCAGGAATTCAAGACCAGCTTGACCCACATGGTGAAACCCCTGTCTCTACCAAAAATACAAAAATTAGCCAGGCATGGTGGCACATGCCTGCAATCCCAGCTACTCAGGAGGCTGAGGCAGGAGAATTGTTTGAATCTGGGAGGCAGAGGTTGCAGTGAACCAAGATCGCATCGCACCACTGCATTCCAGCCTGTGTGACAGGGTAAGACTCTGCCTCATAAAAAACAAAACAAAACAAAACAAAACAAAACACTTTAAAATGGGATATGTTATGCTATATATATTTTTTACCAAAATTTAAAAACTCTAATTAAACTGTTCATGTCTGTTAATCCCCACTTAATATTCCAGCTTCTTCTTGTCTTCCTCCTTGGAGCCTAATTTTGCTCATTGCTTCCGAATTCTCAAAGTCTTTCTCCTACATGATCCTTGGTAACAACTGCAGAAAATGATGCTGCAACCAACACTGTGTGCTTGCCAAATGTCACCAGGTTGACAAAAACCATAGAAAATAGGGCATTAGGGGGAAAAAAACCCTTTATATAAACAATACAACAATATGTACAAACAGAACGTTGAATCAAAGTTATTGAAAGCACAGGCAAACCATATTTGCTAGCTTTAAAGACTTGTGCAGGGGGGTGAGTTTTCTCCTGAATCACCTCCCTAAATGGTTCAAGAAATAAAGGTGTGGAATCCCAACTTCCTGAAGCTGACTGTTCCCCAAGTGTCAGGCCACAAAGACAGTCTCTTTAAAAGATTTAGTTCAGCCCTCATGTGCTTACCCTCTAATGTCCCCTATACTTATATTCTCTCGGGTTTTTTTTTTCTCTTCTAAGTTTGGAAAGAGGTTTGATTAACTAGTTGGCCTTTTCACAATTATCTTGAAGCTTAAAGGTATTGTTTGTGGACCAGGACTTTTTTGTTAAGGTGAGAATGCAGAACATAATCTCTTCTCCTTGTGCTACCCTATAGACCTACCCGCACATCAAGGGAGAAGGGAACCCTCACTGTTCTTTTGTTTTGGGAGACTGGACACCATTATGCATACATGTTTTAAAGTCAGCTTTTAAATTTTACTTTATAAAACTGTGTATGGTAGTGGTTAAGAATTGGGGCACTGATGTCCTACATTCAGTCTTGGCTCTGTCCTCTCCTGTGTGCCATGGACAACTCTCTCCCCCTCTCTGAGTATTTTTCCCTGTTGTAGAGAGGATAACACCTGCCTCAGAGGATTATGATGAAGTTTGAAGGAGAGAAGGTATGAGAAGTACCAGGACAGTGCACAACACAGTGTAGGTGCTCAAGAAAGTTAGCCTGCTAGTTACCTTATTTATTGTAGAACATCCATGAACACCCAAAGGTCTTCTCTATGAAATTTTCCCCAGTGAACAGTCCATGATGATTTCTCTATTGTCTACAGTCCTATAATCCTTGATGAAAATACAATTCATGCTGCAGCCATTTTATTTTATGTTTTACTCTGTTAAATTTATTTATTTTTGAGACAGTCTGGGTCTGTTGCCCCAGCTGGAGTGCAATGGTTCAATCATGGCTCACTGCAACCTCTGCCTCCCAGGTTCAAGTGATTCTCCTGCCTCAGCTTCCTGAGTAGCTGGGACTACAGGTGCCTACCACCACACCTGGGTAATTTTTGTGTTTTTTAGTAGAGACAGGGTTTCACCATGTTGGCCAGGCTGGTCTTGAACGCCTGACCACAGGTGATCCACCCACCTCGGCCTCCCAAAGGCCGGGATTACAGGCATGTGCCACCGCACCTGACCTATTTTATTTATTTTTTGGAGACAAGGTCTCTATCTGGTGCCCAGGCTAGAGTGCAGTGGTGTAATCACAGCTTACTACAGCCTCAACCTCCTAGGCTCAGGTGATCCTCCTAGGCTCAAGTGATCCTCCCACCTCAGCCTCCCAAGTAGCTGGGACTACAGGCATACACCACCAGACCCAGGTAATTTTTGTATTTTTTGTAGAGACAAGTTTCCACCATGTTGCCCAAGCTGTTCTCAAACTCTTGGGCTCAAGTGATCTGCCTTCTTTGGCCTTCCGAAGTGCTGGGATTGCAGTCATGAGCCACTGTACCCGACCTATTGCCATTTTATATTGTACACAAACTTTCATCAAATAAACATCAAGTCATCTGAGAACAGTGGCAATGTTGTGCACTCTTGCTGCCCCCAGAGCCTGATGCAGCCACACATGTAATGAGCCCTGAAGGAACGTGTCTTAGTTTTATGTGGCTATAAAGATAATACCTGAAACTGGATAATTTGCAAACAACAGAGATTTATTTCATACAGTTCTGGAGGCTGGGAAATCAGTGTCGAGGACTCTTCTACCGCATCCTACCACGGCAGAACGTGAAAGACCAAGAGAGCAGGCAGAAGAGATGGAAAACAAAGTTTCAAGCCCTTTTACAATCAGTATTAATTGATTCATGAGGGTGGAACCCTCTTGACCTAAACACCTCTGATTAGGCTCCCTTTCCCAACACTGTTGCATTCAGGATTACATTTTCAACACATGCCTTTTGGGGGACACATTCAAACCACAACAGAACACATTTTCATTGAATGGCCAAGAAGTAATTTGGAGCCCAGGATAAAGCACTGGACTTGTCATTAAAAGACTGGAGTTCTAGTCTTGGTTTTCATATGGGTGGGCTTTGTGACAAGGACAAGAAACTTCAAGGCAACTCTCATAATCAGTCTCTAAATTAGGATAGTAGGGCTGCCCTACCCACTTGCAGGAAGAATTACAATGAGATTCACATGTGACACCATACATGAGAAAGTATTTGATAATTCCTAAAATTCTAAATAATTACAGTAATAATAACTACCCACAATCCAGCAGCATTGTATCTTGAATCTACATAAGCAACCAAGTTCTCCTAGCATTGCCTTTATTTTAGGCTGTTGATAAATGTTCCATAATTCTGGTGCTATAAAGGGGCAGAATAAGAGAAAATAAAACCTGTTGGCTGCTAATCATTTACAATCAGATCATTGACTCAACCAATTAACCAATTACACTTAAAGTTAAAGCCCATTTGCAACCTACTGCCAGGATTAGGAGATTGATAGATTTTTAGCACAAAGGCTTATGCTCAAAACTCCCATTAGCAGTAATGGGAACTATGCCCATTAGGCCCATGGAGAGATGAGAGTTGAATGTGATATATAATCTATCTTGCTTAATGTCATCAATTTCCCTGTAGCCCCTTCAAACAACCGGACGCCAGTGAAATGCCCTAAATGGAACTAATAGCATTGAATTAAGAGAATATTAACAGTCTATTTCAATGAGGCTTTCCAACACAGTAAGCCTATAGATATTTCAAAATCTTGACATGCCTGGGTACGTTTTTTGTTTGTTTGCTTATTTAAAGAGGAAGACAATCCTTTAATAATGAGGAAATACTAGAAGAGGATAATTTACATGACTATATCAGATGAAAGATTTCCCCTAATACTTGAGCTTTTTGTTATATAAAAAGTGATCAGTTGAGCTTTATACAGATTAAGAAATCCTTCACATTGCCTTTAGTTTACAAGAAATGAAGAAATCAAAAGAAAAGCGATATTGGCCCTTTTTTTGTTTTGTTTTTGAAACAGGGATCTCTCTTCATTACCCAGGCTGAAGCGCAGTGGCATGACTGTGGCTTACTGCAGCCTCCACCTCCCCAGGCTCAGGTGATCCTCCCACCTCAGCCTCCTGAGTAGCTGGGACTACAGCTGTGCGCCACACCACCCAGCTAAATCTTATATTTTTTGTGGCGATGGAGTTTCACCATATTGTCTAGGCTAGTCTTTTTTTTTTTTTTTTTTTTTAAAGACGGGGTTTCACCATGATGGTCAGGCTGGTCTTGAACTCCTGACCTCAGGTGATCCACCCACCTTGGCCTCCCAGAGTGCTAGGATTACAGGCGTGAGCCACTGCGCCTGGCCTAGGCTAGTCTTGAATTCCTTTGCTCAAGCGATCCACCCATTTTGGCCACTGAAAGTGCTGGGATTACAGGCCTGAGCCACTGTACCTGGCTGACATTAGCTTCTTTTTTTTTTCCCTTTTCCTTCAAAGTAATCATTGAAGATACTCTAGACAGTCACAAAACATAATGCTTGATTAAAATTTTCCCAACCACATAAGCATGAAATATAATTTCTCCTTTATTCTTACCCTACATGCATTATTATCAACTTCTGTCACATCATCTTTTAAATACTTGATATCTGCCCTTTTCTTTCTAGTGCCATCATGCCCACCCTAGTTAAGGCTCCTTTAAAGCAGACTCAGACTGAGCCAAGTACTTTCTAGTTGCTCCTCTTTAAAGCCCTTGACACGGGCCAGGTGCAGTGGCTCATGCCTGTAATCCCAGCACTTTGGGAGGCCGAGGCGGGCAGATCACCTGAGATGGGGAGTTCAAGACCAGCCTGACCAACATGAAGAAACCCTGTCTCTTTAAAAAAAATTAAAACAAAAAAATTCCTTGACACTTCAATCCATTTTGCACATTCCGTAATGCATAGAATGTAAAATCTTTGAGGGCAGGAACTATGTCCTATATTTCCCCATATTATAGGTACAGTGATATTTCCTGAGTTAAAAATCTAGACACATGATCCGACAATTACATTTACAGAGAAAAAGAAACAGAAATCTAGGCTGGGCATGGTGCTCACGGCTGTAATCCCAGCACTATGGGAGGCCACGGTGAGGTCAGGAGTTCAAGACCAGCCTGGGCAACCTGGTGAAACATCGTCTCTACTAAAAAAACAAAAATTAGCCAGGCATGGTGGCACATGCCTATAACCCTAGCTAGTCAGGAGGCTGAAGCAGAATTGCTTGAACCCAGGAGGCCGAAGTTACAGTGAGCCGAGGTCACGCCACTGCATTCCAGCCTGGGCGACAGAGCGAGACTCTCTCTCCAAAAATAAAGAAAAGAAACAGAAATCTAAAACTGGACCAGAAATCTAAATCTGTACCTTTCCTTCCACATTTGCGATTATTGTATCTAACAGATGCATTCTAATAAAATGCATTTCTGCATCATATAAATACAATACACATGGGTTGACTGGTGGGCTAATTGCTTAGTCTGTTTAGAACAGAGGTTGTAAACTAATACACTAAAGATCAAATATGGCCTATGGTGATCTTTTTCCCAGCACATTAAAACATTTTTTAAATTGTTTGCCAACATTTAAAAACTGCTGATTTAGTACCCCAAAACCTAAAATGCAATAAAAAAAAAAAAAAGAAAAGAAAAAAAAAAAAAAAAAAGAAATGACCTACCTGGACAAACAAAAAAAAAAAAAAAAACAAAAAAAACTGCTGATTTCACAAAAAAAAATCGGGCTGCACTTGAGAATCTGAAGAACATTGGATTTTTAGAAATTAGCTCAAGCTGAAGCTCATCAAAGAAAGTCTAACAAAGCTGGAAACCCAAAAGGGCTGCACTTCCAGTGCAATGACGAACAGGAAAGAAACCTGCTGACAGAAAGAAGCTAGGAAACTTGCCCATCTCTATCTTGGCATTTGGTAGAGGAAATATGTATATTTCCTCTTTTGATAATTTATATCCAAACTTGATACTCTCACACACATGGGTTTGCAGATCAATTCACCCACTTACGTAGTTAAAAACAAAAATAAACAAAAAAACAAAGAGAGATATTAATTTTGTTGTGGGTAGGTAGTTAACCCCAGGCAACTAGTGAAAGTAAACACAAATAATCTCCGAATGAATGTAACGTCAATCTATGCCTCAAAAAATTTCTACAGATAAAATCCCAGGAATATAAACTTAGAGTCAAAATCCACAAAACATAAAAGTAAACGGCACAATGGTAAAAACTAGAAGGAAGAGATGGTAAAAATCACATCTGCAGTCTTAAAATGTAAAATGATAAGTCATAGAATATAAAATACGACTGTTTAATATTAACTCACACAACAAATATTATTTGCATGCCTTCTATTTGCCAGGTATTGTTCTAGGATTTAAGAATAAAGTGGCTAACAAAATAAACACGCTTGCTTTAAAGAAGGTTATGTTTTAAGAAGGCGAGACAAATTACTTAGTAAAAGATATAGGATAGTAGGTAGTTAAAAAAAATCTAGGAGAGAAATATGGAATATTGTAATACAGGATATTTCACTGTCCTTAGAACCACATGGTGATTAGTTTGGGTATGAGAGATGACCAGAAGTCCTGGACTTTTTGTGTGACTGACATAAACAAGGACAACAGCATAATGGGATTTTAATGGTTGCAAAGCAGAGAGTGGTGGTATAAGTACTGGAGGGTGGGCTGTGGGGGACTGCTGTGGGGAGGAGCGTCTTCTCTAGAGCATACAGAGTCCCGGGCCTCCCTTATGTGAGGGATAGAGAAGGAATGTTCTTCTCCAAGGCACAGGTTACCCCAGGGATCCCTCTTGTTTACTGCTGATGGAAGCCAAGAGCCTCTCATTTTATCTTTAAAACTTTTGTTTCAAGAAATAAAAGCATATAAATATGTGCAAGAAACAAACAACTATACAAACTTGTCCAAACAGGTCTGAAATAGAACTTCTAGAAATAGAACAAAAAGATAGAAATTAAAAAGTCAAGTTAAAAAGAAAATTGAATACAGCTGGAGAAAAAAATTCATGAACTGGAAGTCAGATCCTAAAAAACTGCCCTAAATGCAGTCCAAATAGTATAAAGAGATGCAAAATATGAAAGAGAAATTACAAGACTTGGATTACAGAACTAAAATGTCTAATATGCATGTAATCAAAATTATCCAAAAAGAAAAAGAAAATGAGGGAGAGGAAATAGTCAAAGAGATAACAGCTGAGAATTTTCAAGAACTGTTGAAAGTAATTACTATGCTCACCTGGTCACAGTAGGCATTTGCATTTTTAACCCTTTGTACAAGTTTTTCTTAAGCTATCTTCCAGGAAAATGTCTTTCATTGAGTACTACTTTATAGTTTACAAAGGGCTTTCAGATATTAAAATCTATGTAACATGTTTTTAGCGTCATTGAAAGTCTTGGATTTGTTTTCCTATTATCACAGGAAACTGAAGTAATCTCTGGCCATAAGATTAGTATTCAAGCCACTCTCTTTAAAGTGGAAAAAGAGAAGAGGATGTTGATATGGTTTGGCTGTGTCCCCACCCAAATCTTATTTTGAATTCCCAATTGGGAGGAACCTGGTGGGAAGTAATTGAATCATGGTTGCAGATCTTTCCCATGCTGTTCTCATGATAATAAATAAGTCTCATATGATCTGATGGTTTTAAAAATGGGAGTTTCCCTGCACAAGCTCTGTTTTTGCCTGCTGCCATCCATGTAAGATGTAACTTGTTCCTCTTTACCTTCCTCTGTGATTATGAGGCCTTCCCAGCCACGTGGAACTGTGGTTCCAATTAAACCTTTTCCTTTTGTAAATTGCCCAGTTTCGGGTACATCTTTATCAGCTGCATGAAAACGGACTAATACAGATATTAGGACCAAACTAAAACTAACAATAACTACAGCACTTAATTGTGATGGACATGGTAGTTAATTTGATTTTTCTGCAGTTTTCACTTCAACACTTTTTTAGGATATTTCCCTTGCAAATCTTCCTATCCTTTGTCTTCTCTCCTCGGGAATGATTTTTGGGGTCCACAGAAGACAGTGCCCTTCATTGGGTTAAGTGATGAGATCTAATTTCATCATGACCTTGAAGGCTCCATAAATCACTTTCTCCTGTTGCCACGTGAACAAAGTCCAAACTCTCTCAGCATGACATAATAGGCTATTTATTTGCCTTATGTCACTGCCCTCCTTCTTAGCTCTACTCTCAGTACAACCTCACATAAGATGAGTCACATGTATTCATTTATTTGAACACATACCCAGATTTTGGGCACCATGTTTCTGTATAGGAAATTCCTCTTAGCCCTCTCTTTGCCTTTCTCATCCTTCTTCAGTACTCCCCATTAACTTCCTCTCACCTCTGAATCTGTTGGTCTCAAGAAAGTCGGGCTGGGTGCAAAGGCTCACTACTGTAATTCCAGCAATTTCAGAGGCCAAGATGGAAGGATTACTAGAGCCCAGGAGCTCGAGAACAGCCTGGGCAACATAAGGAGACTCCATTTCTTCGATAGAAAGTTTTAAAATTAACTGGGCATCGTGGCACATGCCTGTGGTCCCAGCTCCTTGGGAAGCTAAAGCAGGGGGATCACTTAAGCAGGGAGGTCAAGGCTGCAGTGAGTCGTGATCACACCATTGCACTCTAGCCTGGACAACAGAGTGAGAACCTATCTTAAAAAAGAAAAAAAAAAAAAGTCTACTGGCACTTCAGGACCCTCCCCAAAATGTGCGGGCACCTGGCTGCCCAAAGCTTTTTCTAGCGGTATCTAGGTGTGGCACCTTGAACTACAGTGTATTTTTGTCAGCTCTGTGCTATAATGTATCCATCTCTATATTCTGGCATGTCTGGCATGTGATGAGCACTCAATCAATTTTTGGTGAATAAACATTATAGAAAGTCTGGGAAAATACTGGGAGGTAAGGGGAGAGAATCCTATGTCTTAAAAGATCACTGTAGGGCAATCCTTATTCCTGAACCCAGCAGTACCACTTCCAGGAAATCTACCTACGCAAATAATTGAGAATGTGCTCAGATATAGTTATAGCCTGGCAAGATGAGTCCTGCCTGTAATCCCAGCTACTTAGAAGGCTGAGGTGGAAGAATCACCTGAGCCCGGGAGGTCAAGGCTGCAGCGAGCCATGATTGTGCCACTGCACTACAGTCTGGGTGACAGAGATAGACCCCCATCTCTTAAGAAAAAAAAAGATTTAGCTACAAAGCTGCACACTCCAGTCCTGTTTAAACAGCAATACTTCTGGACACAATTTTTAAGTTCTTCAATAGGGCTTTGGTTAAATAAATGTACAACGGAGTACTAAGTAGTGATTTTAAATCATGTGTGGAAAATATTTTTCCGTGATATTTGATTCAAAGAAAAAAGGTTACAAAGCATTGTGTTTGTTAACAGTGGTTTTCTGGGTGGTAGGATTTCCATATTTTTTTCTTTCTGATTCTTAAAAAAAATCTGATTTTTCTGCAATGAATAATAATTATTTTGTGATTTTTTTTAAAGGAGGGTTTTTTTTTTTGTCGGGTGGGGGTTGGATTTTTGTTTCGTTTTGTTTTTGAGACTCTGTGGCCCAGGCTGGAGTGCAGTGGCGCGATGGAAGTTTTTGTTTCTAAAGGAGAGTCCTTTCCTTTGGAGCTCCAACTCAGATTCTAAGAGGCCATTCATATTCCCAGCATTCCAGAGTGCCCAAGGGAAAGACCTGGCCAGTTATTTTAGCCTCAATTCACAAAATGGGGCCTTGAAAGGGGAAAAACAGTTGCTCTAGTGAGCAGTGATTATTAAAACCAAACCCAAGATCTCATTATGTTAGAAAACTTTCATTCGCTGATTTCACTTTTCAAGTGAATCCTAACGCCTATTTCCTTAATCTTCATAGTTTTGGACATTCCACAGTCCAACCCACGCGCTTATCTTTCACTGGGCTGCAGAGATTCCTCTTGTTGCCAAAAGGGGCCGAGTCTCCCTCTTCCCCACCAGCAGAGAGGCCTCCTGCGGAGCTGGCCACGGTACTCCAGGGCTGGTTCCTGGTCTCCCTGTGCGCTGGCTGGCGGTGAGTGCAGTGACTGACTTCCTCTGTTCACCTTCCCGGAGATCCCCACCCACGCCACTGCCAAGGCTCAGAGGAAGTCAGTTCAGGTCTCAGAGCTGGTCTGAAACTTCCAGAGCTGGTCTGAATCTTCCAGAAGGAAAAGAGGGGTGTATATGTGTGTGTGTGGGAGGGGGGGAGTAGTGTGTGTGTGCTGTATGTCTAACAGGTAGCAAGTGTGTTTGTGTGTGTGACGTGTGTTTGACGGGTAGCAAGTGCGTGTGTATGTCGTATGTGTGTCTGAGAGGCAGCAAGTGTGTGCATGGTATGTTTGAAGGGTAGCAAGTGTTTGAGTGTGAGCGTGTGGTATGTGTGTTTGAGAGGTAGAAGCCCTAGCTTGGTGTCTGTCTAATTAGATGGTGATGCATCTAAGTAAGAGATTTTCCCGCTGAGTGGATTAAATTCCTAGTCTATCAGAGAGGGTGTTGACCTAGAATGACTGCGCAGGTCTCCTGTGAGCACCCTGATGTCCCCAGGAGTGCTGCAGAAAGAGCAAAATGGCATATATCAGGCGTCCCCGAGATGCTGGCACCTATGTTAACACTGTCTTATTTCATCTTCCAACTACTCCTTATAATAGATGCCCCTGACTCTAATACAAGATTGAAAATAGAGGCTCAGAGTCTGCGGAATGCTTTCCAATATTAATATGTATGTTTGTGTGTGTATATAAGTATATATACGTACACATGTATATATGTATATGTATATATGCGCATATATATGTGTGTATGTATATATTTTACAGCCCATTTGGGCAAATGAGTGAGCCCCAGCCAGAAGCAAACGCCCCAGCCATCCCTGGGCAGTGGGCTCGGGACCGCTGCGCACCCGTCCCATGCGTTACCTGCTCGCTGCTCACTGGAGTGAAAGCCATTTAGTGGCTGATCCAAGAGAAGTATGAGCTAGTGGCATGCCGAGACAAACCTGGATTTGATTCACAGCTCTGCTTTCTGTTTGACTACAAGTAAGTAACAAGCTTTTGGAGCCTGTTTCCTCACTTCTAAGAATAGTATGTACGTCACAAGGATAGTGACATGAGTGATGACTATGACCAAACTTGAATCACCAAGCCTGCACCCAGGGAGCGCTCCGTAACCCAACGCTCCAGTACTCGCTCCTTCCATGACCTCCGGTCCCGACTCGACTCAGTGCCGAGCAGAGTCCGGAGCGCAGCGGGGAAGCGCGGGCCAGGCCTCCGCGGTGGGGAGGAGGAGGCCGCCCGCCCGGAGGGCTCCGGGTTTCCGTGCAGGCTCCCGCGGAGCCAGCCGGATGCGTCACCACCCGAAAGTACGAGCCTGGACGACAGCGGGGGCGGGTGTTCGCGCAGCTGGAAGCCCGTGGGCCCTTACCGAAAGCGCGAGCCCGGACTTCCCGGCCGCGATCGATGTGGCCAGTCTGCGCCTGCCGCAGTTCCCGCTCGCACCCCAGACCCTCGTGGAGCCCCGGGGAAGCGCCGTGGCGGGCGGTCTCTGCCCTCGGGAGGGAACGCATGCGCGCGCTGCTCCTTCCCGGCCCCGGCGGGGAAGCGATGCTTTCTTGGCCCGGGCTTGGGGCCAGCGGGAACCTGGCTGTCCGGCCGCGCCGCGCTTTGCGCGGCGTGAGACAACCTAGCTTTTTTTTTTTTTTTTTTTTTTTTTTTTTAAAGAAAAGCGTTGGCACCGTAGCAAACACCCCCGCTTCTTCCCTGCCAGGACGCCCGCCTGACTCGCCTCATTGCACAATTTCTACCGTGGAACTGCCGCGTGACTCGGCTGGAGCCCAGAAGTTTCCCAGGTTTCCCCAGCCTAGAAAAGTGTGGTTGGGTGTCCCGCCCTGACCCCAGGCGCCCTTTAAGTTGTATTTCTTCGGGTATCTGGGTTGCCCTTTAAAATGTCGAGATTGCCCTTTAGAATTAAAAAAAAAAATCTCACGAGCTCGCTGGCCCGCCAGGTCTAGGTTGGCGCCGGATGACTGCAATGAAAAGCGTTTCTTTTCCCATGTACATTTTTTCAGACAGCTAAAGGGTTTCGATCTGTTTTGGGAAGAACTCAGGCACTGGCTTTAAAGGAGGAAGGGGAGTGATGCTTAAAAGCGGAGACACAGGCCGGGCGCGGTGGCTCACGCCTGTAATCCCAGCACTTTGGGAGGCCGAGGCGGGTGGATCACGAAGTCAAGAGATAGAGACCATCCTGGTCAACATGGTGAAACCCCGTCTCTACTAAAAATACAAAAAATTAGCTGGGCATGGTGGTGCGTACCTGTAATCCCAGCTACTCAGGAGGCTGAGGCAGGAGAATGGCCTGAACCCAGGAGGCGGAGGTTGCGGTGAGCCGAGATCGCGCCATTGCACTCCAGCCTGGGTAACGACAGCGAAACTCCGTCTCAAAAAAAAAAAAAAAAAAAAAAAAGCAGAGACACAATTTGGAGCTCTCCAAGAATCACAGTGTTTAGTAACAATGATTGTGCTTAGTAGATACTGCAAAACTATCGAACGAATGAATATTTGGAGGAGGGATTTAAATGGTTGTCTATAGACCAATTCTTTCATTTTGCTGATGAGAAAACCTAGAGGTAAACCGATTTGCCCAAAATCTCCTAGCTAATTAATGTGGAAGGCAGGAATATAATCTGTCTCGTTTAGACTCCAAATATTTGTTATGAATGGGTGCTTGACTCCAAATACTTTTTATGAAAATAAAATGCCTTCTGCAGCAATCTCTATAAAGCCTTACTCCACTCCGTCTACCCATCTAAAACAAACATACAAAACACAAAAGAAAACAGTAATCTCCAAATGCAATCCAAGACATTTTAGTTCTTATTTGTATAAATAGCACTTTTTTTTTTTTTTTTTTTTTTTTTTTTTTTTTAAGACATGGTCTCACTATCTCATCCAGGCTAGAGTGCAGAGGTGCCATCTCGCTTACTGCAACCTTTGCCTCCCAGGATCAACTGACTCTCCTGCCTTATCCTCCCAAGTAGCTGGGATTACAAGGTGTGCACCACCACACCTGGCTAATTTTTGTACTTTTTAGTAGAGATGGGGTTTCACCATGTTGGCCAGCCTGGTTTCAAACTCCTGACCTTAGGTGATCCACCTGCCTGGGCTCCCACAGTGCCGAGATTACAGGCATGAGCCAACCTGCCCAGCCAATAGCACTTCTTAATCACACAAAATATGTAAAGAAAAATAGGAAGAGGAGGAGGAGGAAACAAAATAAGCAAAACAGTGCTTCTCTAAGATGATATGGAAAATTCCAGGTGCTCGCTAACCTTAACTTTTCTAAGTAAAGCATTTGGTGGTCTGCATAGAAACTACTGGACTTGTGAGTGACCATCAGAGTTGCTCTAAGACTGGTCAGTTATTTCACTCGGGTTTAGACTGGATTTGTTGCTCATCTTTCAGAATAGACAGATGCAATCTGTGCAAACACAAGGGACTTCAATGACAATCTTACAAATAGTTAGAGAGCTGGTTGTCTTTGACATTTCTAGGCTGACCAACTATACCAAACATCTGATTTACAGACCAGAATTGCAAAACAAGTATATATGAAGATCAAAGGAATCAAGAGTACATGTAGAGATCATGAGTAAAAATTATTTTATGTGTTGTCAGTGATGGTTTCCACAATAATAATTATAATATGGTTATAATAATACAATCCAAGTACAAGTTCTTATCCAGGAAGAAGCTGGAGCTTCCAGTGATGAGCAGACCAGAAGACCAAATTGTGAAATGTCTCATTTTTAGGTCAGCCCAATACAATCTGAAATGAAGACAATTCTCTTCTTTAATGCTGCTGTCTTCACTACCCTTTATCTTTCCCTATACCGTGAAGGTGGGGATGTATACTAATGTCTAGAAATTTTTGAAATTCTAGGAGGCTAAATAGAATCTGCTAATTCTAGTTTGATAATCCACAATATTCCTGAAATCAAAGTATCATCTCCTATATTTTTCCCATACTGTGATTTCTAGTTTGTCATTATACCAGGCTACTGAATCTGAACTCAAGAAACAACAAAAAAAAAGCATTTTGAACAAAAACTATCTTTTCCAGTGCCAGGCATGGTGGCTCAGTACTGTAATCCCAGTACTTTGAGAGGCCGAGGTGAGAGGATCACTTGAGCTCAGGAGCTCAAGATCAGCCTGAGCAACATAGGGAGACAGGTCTTGTTCCGTCACCCAGGCTGGAGTGCAGTGGTGTGATCAGCTCAATGCAGCCTCAACCTCTGGGCTCAAGCGATTCTTTCACTTCAGCCTCCCAAGTAGATGGGAGCACAGGCACAAGCCACCATGTCTGGCTAATTTATTTTTATTTTTTGTAGAGACAGGGTCTCCCTATGTTGCCCAAGCTGGTATCAAACTTTTGGGCTCAAGTGATCCTCCTGCCTTGGCCTCCCAAAATGCTGGGGTTACAGGCATGAGTCACTGTACCTGACCAGAAAATAACAGTTAAAAATGTGGATTTGAACCAGGTACACTGGCTCATGTCTATAATTCCAGTGCTTTGGGAACTGAGGCGAGCAGATCACCTAAGGTCAGGAGTTTGAGACCAGCCTGACCAACACGGTGAAGCCTCATCTCCACTAAAAATACAAAAATTAGCCAGGCATGGTGGCACATGCCTGTAATCCCAGCTACTGGGGAGGCTGAGGCAGGAGAATCACTTGAACTCAGGAGGTGGCGGTTGCAGTAAGCCGAGATTGCACCATTGCTCTCTACCCTGGGCGACAAGAGCAAAACTCCATCTCAAACATATATATATATGAATATATATGAATTATCTGTGGTTATCAGAGGCTGGGAAGAATAATGGGAGGGGAAGATGATGAGAGGTTATATAACACAAATTTACAACTGGATGAGAGGAATAAGTGCTAGTGTTCTATAGCCCTATAGGGTGCATATGGTTAACAATAATTTAATGTATTTTTTCAAAAAGCTAGAAGAGAGAATTTTGAATGTTCATAACACAAAGAAATAATAAATTTTCAAGGTGATGGATATGCTAATTACCCAGATTTGATCATTGCACATTGTACACATGTACTGAAATATCATTGTATCCAATGAATATGTACCATGTCAACTAGAAATAAAAGGAAAAAAATCAAATTTTTAAAAATATGTGAATTAGGTCTGGGCACAATGGTTCACGCCTATAATCCCAGCACTTTGGGAAACTGAGGTGGGTGGATCATCTGAGACCGGGAGTCCAAGACCAGCTGACTGACATGGAGAAACCCCATCTCTATTAAAAATACAAAATTAGCTGGGTGTGGGGGTGCATGCCTGTAATCCCAGCTACTTGGGAGGCTGAGGCAGGAAAATCCCTTGAACCTGGGAAGCGCAGGCTGCAGTGAGCTGAGAGCGCACGGTTGCACTCCAGCCTGGGCAACAAGAGTGAAACTCCGCCTCAAAAGGAAAAGTGAATTCTCTCCAATTGACTTATAGATTCAATTGCAATTCCAATTAAAATCCCAGCAGACTTTTTTGATGGAATTTGACAACTTAATTATAAAATGCATATGGAAGTGCAAAGGGCCAAAATTAGCCAACATGATCTTGCAGATGAATAAGTTAGGGGACTTGCCATTTTAGATATTAAAATTTTAAGAGCCATAATAATTAGGATATAAATAACTATTGGTGCAGGGATAGGAAAAAATCAATGAATCTGAAGAGAGAGCCCACACTTAAATCACTCATATAAATGGAGGCACTGAAGAATAAAGGAGAAAGATAAAAGAAACTTTCAGTGCTAGGATGATTGTGTATCCATAGTCACAAAAATGAAATTGGACCCTTTATACCATACATAGAAATAATTCCCAGATTAATTAAAAATCTGGCAAAATTGTAAAAATTTTAGAAAATAATATGGGTGAAAATATTTGTTGCCTTGATGCAGGAGAGTTTTCCTAATAAGACACAAAATGTACCCACCATAAAATAAAAAATTGGTAAACTGGAGTACATTAAAATTGAGAACATTTATTCATCAAA